CTGGGCGTTGCGAGACGCTGTAGCTCGTAGCCTAGCGCCGAAATTGACAAGGGTCTGACGAAACTGATGTTGCAAGGTAAGCTGTTCATAGTGTTGAGCGAGTCGCAAGGGTTGTTCCAGCCCCTACTTAACCGCACAAAACAGTTCAGAGCGCGAAGTCTGGATAAAATTAGCACAAAACTTAGCACGTCTCGTGCTTTGGACTTGATCCCCGTGAATACTGGGCAAGGCTGCTCATTGCTGTCCGACGTGACCTGCCCGGCCCCAGCGCGGCGTTCTGCGCACCGTTACCACTGGACGCAAAGGCGAACCCCGAGAAAGACGGCACAGGGATGCAGCCAGCTTAGGATCTGCAGAACGGACAACCTGCTCGCAAAATCCTGTGGTAAATACTGCGTTGGTGCGTATTGGCAACTGGTAAGGCCCTACTGCTCACGGTGCGCGTACGGCTTGTGCGTGTGCACAAGCCAAGCAGAGCCGCGAGGCTAAAGGGAGCTTGCCGGGATAGAAGTCAGACGCCTTAAGTTGTTTCTTGACTCGAGGTCCGTTTTCGAGGCCCGTTTTCAGCTAAACACGGGTATTAACTGGTCTTAGTTCGTGGGGATATTTTACTTTGGGAGTAGATTGGATGACCCATCACTGGCGTCGGTCATTTGGTTACGACCATGTAAAGGATAACGGATGCAGCAAACGTATACGAGCATACAATTAACGTAATTTCGCCGTCTTGCTTCCCCATCCCCACCGCCCCACCAAGCCCTCCTCCCAGCTTATACCTGTTACCGCCTCTACGCTGACAGTCCGAAGTCGTGGACGAGCTGTTAAACGGAGTGTGACAAATAAACTGACCTTTGCAGCATATTTGAAACACGCGCTGGTGATATCTCAGGACCAATTGCTGTCTAATAGCGCTGGGAATGCCTCTGCAGCAACAACAGCTTATAAAAGCAAATTAGTCTCAGTAATTATGTAACCTAAACTACGCAAACATTCCAGCCTAGCACTGCATTTCTTTTTTCTTCGTAGCCCCAGATTTAATTTCGGGAATGGGCGATCTGCCACATGCAAGACACTAAGGCGAGATATTCGTCGTAGCCTCCGTGACCGCGCGCAGGGTTTCGTCACGCCGAGCTCGTTCAGAAGTGGCATGCAAATTAGCACGATTAAGACTAAAACTTCCTGCAAACACCAGCCGCTATGCGCACGGTACACCTGAAGTGTGCAAGTGTACAAGCACAAGTGTGGAGCCATCTATATTACAGTGGACGGCATGTTTATAAGAATGGCGAATGGTTCGCGATTCACTGGAAGGTCATTCAAACCGGCTACCTCAGTCCAAACCCCACACAGCTAAGGCCGAGTCCCTTGGGGCGGCGTCTTGCGGGCCAGCTGCGTCTCGGTCGCGGCACAGCTGCTGTGCACAGGCCTGCCGGACTAATGGAGGGCCGTTCCCGCAGCGCGGATTTCCGCGGAGCCAATCAGCGGCGCGGTGAGTGGCGATGGCCGGACTGCCGGCCGCGTGCACTCCGGCCATAAACCGCCGCTGCCGGCCGGCCGCCACAATGACACATGCCTCTTTTCCCAATTTTATATCTCTAATTGCATATTATGATGGCCGCGAAATTGGCTAATGGTCGTCTCAAGGGCGTGCGGTGGGCCGCGGGACGGCGCTGATCAGGGGGTCTTCGGCCGGGCGGCGCAGCCACCGCCGCCGCGTGGGCGGAGGGGCGGTGGCGGCGGTGGTGGCGGGCGCGGCGCCGGACACGGCCGGTCGGAGGACAGCGAGTGGGACACGGATGGGGTGGCGCTGGTTCGCGCCCTCCCCCCCCCCCCCCCCCCATCGCCCCAACGCCGCCGGGAGAGGCGAGCCAGCATCAGAACGTACGACGGCCCTGTGGAGGAACACTCGAGACGGCGCATGCTGCCAGTGCATGTTTGCAGTGCAGGGATTGTTTAGCGCACCTGTAAACCCAGGTAGCGGCAGGGGTCACTGTGTGCCGTACACAGGCGCGCCGACTGTCATGATGAAGCCAATGTCATGTCCAGCTCGTGCCACTTTGGCCGTGATGACAGCCAGCGGCCGGGTGTGATGCCGGCCACAGCCCATGCATCAACCGTCTTTCCAATGCAGACAATGCCCTCTTCTGAGAGCGTCTGGACGTTTCAATTCACTCTATCGCTAGCTGTCTGTATAAAACACCAAGTGTAAAGAGCTCGGTCCTTCCCAAAAAATCGCATAATAAACGTAGGCAGTTGGAGAGGTTCTTCTGGTAACTTCGATTTTTCCCCAGGAGTTCGCTCATTGGCCGATAATTATTGTGAAACGCTTTGTCAGCGGCATTACCCACAGGGGAAAAAAGTACCTCCAAGGGAGCAGAATTTATCGTGGTAATCTGAGCTATGGTAGCATCTGGACCAAGCCGCTATGGTAAGTCAGCCCATCGCAGAACTGTAAAACGAGCTAATATATGTTTTGATTTTCCAGGTTCTGTGCCTAGAAAATGCGTCTTGAATCAAAATCAAATTGGGCATCACTTCAGAAGAAAACACAATTCGAAGGGTCGGGTAAGCCAAGCCCATGAAATGTCAATAGGAACGCATCTGCTGGACACGTTTTGAATTGTCCTACACTAAGCGGAAATCATGGAGCACGCTCCGTGCTGAGATCACCAAGAAACAAACACGAGTTATAGAACAGGTGGATATTTTCTGGACGCCATCATGAATGGACATTCGGCCGACACATAATACTGCTTGAAGATGACCGCGACTGGTCTGAGTGCTTCGGAGAGGGCAATTTGCTGCTCACGAACACGATCCCGGCAGTGTGATTGGCTGTGCCGCGCCACAGATTACCATTAGCAGCGTATGCACCCGATCCTGCCAGCAGTATCGACTAGCCACACTCAACACGCGATTAGCCTCACGAGCAATCTTGGCGGCATAACCCGATGCCAAGCGCGACCAGTGCCCTGCCACCCAAGCCGAGCCAATTGGCGCCGGTCTGATGACCGGCCGCCTGCCCGCCGCGTGTCAGGTGGTGACGGACGGTTGGCGGCCGACGCCCTGCGTACCTGGGCACGTGCCGCCCGCCGCAGAACACAGGGTCAACAATGCGGAAGGCCAAGCCCTGAGCAGTCTCAGCGCGGGTGGACGACGCCGAGTCCTGAGGTCTCCGCGCGGGAGATCCTGACAAATATGGATGTGACACAACTGCTAGAATGGGCCTCTTTCGATGGTGAAATGCTACAATGAGACAGGGAAGCAGACGTGACAGCGTGAGTGAGGCCCGGAGTGGTGGGGACCGGGGGGGGGGAGGGGGGCGTGACGTCACGAGGCTTCGGAAGGGACCGGCACTGTTGGCCCCTCACACCCGAACCGTTGTGTCAGGGGGTCCGGACACCGCGGGAGTGGAGACCGCTTCGGCAGGGTGGGGTCAGTCCCAATGCTCTATAGGGTCTCTGAGGGTCTGAGGGTGCTCTCTGCAAGATGCTGGCTACATGGCACTTTAATCAAGAGCGCATGCGGTTCATTAATAGACGTTCCATTTAGATTAACATTCATTTCCATAATCAATCAATTTAATTAAGTCAATCACTTCATAATAATCGAAATAAAGGTACAATTTTAGTAAGGTTTCTGCACCGATTATTCAATTTTTACAATTCGTATGCAGAAGTTTCAAACCTGACATCAAAAGCATTTAATACTATCATGTTGAGGGCTGAGCTTTGCCTCGATACCAGTATGTTGTGAAATCGGACTTCGGAAACATTTGACTTCAAGAAAGGACAGCATTTTATCTTACTTTTAAAGTTTATGTCGAATTTAGAAGCAACCTTATCAGTAAGATAGTGCCGTTCAACATTTAATAGTAATAATGGTAGCCCTTTATGAATTGCTAAGTTTATGAAATAATCTGTTAAATGTATGTATTGAATTGTTTTGCGTCTTAATGCTTTTGAGCTCGTGTGGACATTGTTTTGGTGGATTGAAACATGTGTTAAACAATGGATGAACGGATGGTGTTCAGAATTATGTAATTAAGGCCTATTTCAGTTTCTTGGTGGCTTGCATTTTAAGTTTAATGATTGTCATTGACGGAATGGCGTGTGATCAAACGTTGAGCCGTCTTAATGCAACAAAAGATACCGCTACAAGACCATCAGTGGATTTAATGCGGCAAATTCCACATTTAATTGTGGTTTAGAACTGACACTAGTCACACTTAAGCTCAACATTTGTGGGCTTACTTGTATCTTAAATTGTGTCTAAAAACTTATCACGGCACTCTGTGTGCAGCTGTCCAACAGCACACCGATTCCTCACCGAGTTTAACACACCATACGGTAGCAGTGATATCAGGGCGCATATGGGCGCGGCTCAAGACGCCGTGGAGGCAAATGTCAGTAAATCTTGGTAAAACAAAACAATTTCCGTGGCGCTTGATGGCGCCACCGGCTGAGCGCCCACCTAACACCAGGAAATGAGGCGTGACGCTTGCAGGGACCAAATGACCGCTGCATGGCATTCATCAAAATGGAATGACACTAGACGCCTTCCTTCAAACTTTGATAATGAGTCTCGCTCGGTGACAAAGACGTATACACCGAAACGAAATGATAATTGCAAGAATATGTTATGCCATTAATTAAATACGTAGAAAGACATTTCTTTCTAGAGCGGTAAAGTCCGCTATATTCCGTAGCTTACGTGTGGTATGTGTGCGTTGTGGAAGGGAAGCCCAGGGGCCTGAGCGTCTGGATGATTTCCAATAAAGCCTATAACAGCGCATGAAAAGAGGCGAATCAAAACACCCCCTCCACGGACGCTGGACGGGGTCCCTTAGGCACGCCGCATGCTGTGTGCAAAAAACTCGCGTACCAGATAACCCACAGCCACGAATGAAGCGGGCCATGTCCACCCTGCCCTGCACCTTGCGCGGTGAGCAGGGTCGCGCCGGCGGCACGGGCCGCATCTCCGGTCGCCGCTGCACTCACCGCGGCCGCGTCCAGGCCCGCCTCCTTGCTCTCCATGTGCACAGCGTGGCTGACGAGCGACGAGCCGTGCATCACATGCGCCGGGTCACCCTTGACGCGAATCTTGACGACCTGTCGCGGCCAGTCCCGCGCGCCAGTTCCGAGCGGTCTCTGCTTCCGCGCGCGCCCGCAGCCCTCTCACAGCGGCGGCCAGCCTGGCACTGGCCGCCGGCTGGCACGCCGCCACGGCGCCGCGGATTATCAGCCAATCAAATCCGCTCTGGGAGGGATCTGGCGGCCGGCGGCCAATGGGCGGCCTGCGTCGCTGCCAGCGCGCACGATCATTCTTATATCAGGCTAATATCGGGCGCGATCAGCTGGCGCCGCGCCGGCGCCGGCGTATCAAGACCCTCACAATGGAGGATTGTTGATACTGGGCCGGCGCCGGCGCGCCATTGGCCGCCGCGAGCGATGGCAACGAGCACGAGTCAATACCGAGGCCGGGGGCGGCGACGTCGCCTCACTGCGCTGACCTGAGCCGCGACCGACACCCACAGCCGGAGCACGGGGGGCGCTGGGGGTCCGGGGGGCGCAAACGGCGAGGCGACCAGCCGGCCCTACACAGGCGCCCGACACGGCCTGCCGCCGGCCGACTAGCCTTGACTTTGTTCGCCCGTGTCCCAAGCGTGTTTGTTTACCAGCGGGCTTCGGCGCCAGGCCGTTTTAAACCGCTTTTTCTGCTGTGGGGTCGGTAATTCAGAGGCGGCGTGCGGAAGTAAATTTAATAGACGGAAGCTCGGATATCTCCTCGGAACACTTGGTGCGCAGTTAGGCGCATCAGGAGCTTAATGTGCTTACTGCAAAACAGCAAGATTAGACATTGCAATACGGTCTTCCGCCAAATGCCAAACACCGCACATTTTCCAAATCCTCCGTAGTAATTGAATCACCGCAGTGACTATGTTTTTACAATAGCAAAATACGCTAATTATCTACCCGAACTATCACTACATTCCTTTCCAGAGAAGCACGTTTATTGCAAAAAGTGCGAGTGAAGTCTCCTTTCAAGTTGGCCTTTTCATGCACTACCATAAGATGAATACGACTTTTACCGGAAAGAAGGAGCGTTGACCTTTTATCCGGTTTATTCGCCTAAGGCTATTTCGCTATGCACGCTTCTGGAATTATTATTCATCAGCGAGAACTACTGCAGTTAGACGAGCATAACTGATTCTTCGGAAGTCCTCGAACATGTCGGAAATGGTTAATGAGTCACACTGTGTTCGGGCAGCCAATCTAGGATCCCTTTCAAAGGAAGGCAGCAGGATTGCGCAGTATGCGGTGGTCTGTAGAATTTGTCGGCGTGATTTAGCAGCATAAAATTATCACGGCGAAGGGTTACGTGGGCGCGAACGTGGAGCGCGGTTCAGAGAGTATAAAGACACGGCTTGCAGCAGTTTCTTCTCTGAAACTAATTATTTTCAAGCATTCCGGAGCAAATATCTTCAGCCTTTTTTGGCTCGTGACACCATCTTCATGAAGATCCTTCCATGGCTTGGTCACGATGAATATCCAGACCTGGTTGACGATTGCATGACAAATGTGCGAGAGGGCAAAAAATTAATATTGTCACTTTTGCAACCACTAATGTTGATAGCTCAAATGATTGCAAAGGTTCATAAATGCATGTCATATTGCATGCATTGCATCTTCAAATGATTGCACATGTCAAAATGCAATGCACAAATGTTCGCCTCACAGATGCTCGTAGCCGCAGATGTTCACAAACATGTATCTGCAAGCGTTATGGCAAAATTTTGTAACCTATGCGTTCGTAGCACGAATGTTTTGTAACTATTGATGCGCATACGCGCAAATGTTTGCAGTGCAGATGGTCGTATTTGCATACTGACCCCTAATCACAAATGTTTGTAAATGTAAATTTCGTATCGCAATTGTCCGTACACACAATGTGTTTTGCCTCGCAGAAGTTCGTAGAGCGTGCGTGTTGCACATGTCGGCATCACAAATGTTTCGCTCGTCAACACATTCGCGCGGTGTATGCTTTAACTTCAAGGCGAAGCACATAAGTACATATCATTGAAAGTAATACAAAAAATCAGGTGAGAGTTAGGACGTATGGTTATTTGGTTACCTCAGATGCCACATGCGTGCTTGGTTATGCAGGAAGTTACGCGACGCCATTTGGCTGTAATCTACACAAGCTGACCCGGCAAAAGGGTTTGGCAACGGCCAAAAATAACTTCTCAAAGTGCAAGGAGTTACGGATTGTAGCGCGAAGTCTATCTAGAAAAATCACCGTCGAAAATGGTCGCAGCCCGAATAAACGTCTCCGGACTATTGCGCTATCGATTTGCAGTCGAACTGTTTCGAATTAAGCGATTGAGAATTGATCACCACATGAGAAAACCAGGAAGTCCCTCCGGAGGCCACTGCTACATACTACACAACATCTGCATTAGCATCGACGAAAAATAGCGATACGAATATTTGTGCATCCGAACATTGACATTGACCTCCCTTGTCATGTTGCGCCTTCCGGTACACGTAGATTTGTGATACGAATAGTTGCATCCGAGAACATAAACTTCGCGGTCGTTCCCCGCTTGCACCACTGTGACATGTACAGTGCAGCGATTAACAAAAGCGGTACAAATATCTGCGTTAAGAACATCTGCTATACGAACAATGGCGTTACGTACGCTAGCGTTTACACACAATGGCGTTATGCACATTAGCGTTCACGAACATTTGCACTTGCAAGCATCGGGGACCTGAATGTGTACGGTACGCACATCCCCCCTTGCGAACATTTGCGGTTGGGAGCATCTACGTAAGTGCAGTTGCCTAAGAACATACGTCTTTAGTGCATGTGGTTTAGGTACAGTTGTTCGTTGTTCACACTGCCACTTGGAAAAGTCCTTGCTGACAAGCCAATAAATAAGGATACATGTAAACATACTGGCGGTTAAAACACGCCGACGATTTGCCCGCATGCATAATGTAAATATGCCATTCAAAATCAAATGCTATCAGCTTTACACACAAAGTCGATACAACCCACATGTACGCTTCAGTCTCGTATTTTGACGGGCAATTTTACACCTTAAGTTAAAACGCTAAAAATGGGCCACTTGATTGGTGGTTTGCAGAACATTTTCATTGTGATGCTTTTCTTCTGTTTTCCACTTTATTTTTCCACTTAATTTTCCACTTATCTTCTGGAACTGCAGCAATTTTGCGTGTGAAAGGATTGTCTGAACTGCAGCCAGTGTCTGAGCCCCAACTACTAGTGTACATTCGGATGTACTTACTTCGGTAACGTGCTGTTTTCTACTGTTTGCTTACAGCCAATTTGGAAGGCTGTGTTTCAGTCATGTCGTGCCATTTGCTTCGCTGATACCAGTATCACGTGACAAAGACTTAAGTAGAAGTATCGGTTGAAAAAATCATGCTACTTGAGTCAGCCACACTGTTTTATGTTTGAGGCGTCAAATGTCGACAAATCCGGTGCGCAGATGAGTCAATGCTTTTGAATCCGCAGTAACAACACCGTGCACATTCCCACGACCACCATTGTGGTAAAGATGGCGGCCAGAGTGCAGAGGCCCAACTCATCTCCTCGCTCCCTTGCTGTCTGGGCCAGGAGGAAAACAGAATCATCGCTTCTTCGCTAATCTCTTTCCAGCATCTGTGTTTGTCTTCTCGGGCTATCGATGCGATGGGGCAACCGGTCGGCGCGCCGCTAACGCTCACACTGCCATGGTTTCCGGGCGGCGGATGGCCCGTACCGGCCGGCTGAAGATCGATGGAGGGGCACCGATGGTATTTCCAGAGATGCTCCGAGAGCAATGAAGACGGATATAAACGAATCATGGCGTGCGGCGAGGGGAGACGGCGCGCAGATGTTGTGTGTGGCACGGGGCCATGGGCGGCGCCAGCTGGCCGCCGTCAGCCAGCCCGTCTGACCGCGACTGCCAGGAGACGCTGGCGTGACGCTGACGACAGGCCCAAGCCAATGCTGGATGTATCTTGGAGCAATGCGGAGTACCCTTATTAGGGGTGGAGTGGGATAGGGGAGTTGGTTTAGAATTGATCACTTGTTGTAGTGTAAGTGTAGTTAGTGTTGTAGTGTTAGAGTAATCCATGTGGTATCGTGTGGTTATTGTCAAACTTGTCCGATGTTGACAGAAAAGCCGCCAGAGGAAGAACCAGCCCGTCGCCCGCCTTCGCGTATCGAATGAGGCATGCATGCGTTCATGTGCGTCCTAGGCTGTGCGCGATTGATTGCATGAGCTTGGCTTGCAAGCTGGCGACGGTGCGAAATCTATCACCATTTTGTCTCACTTCTAACGAACACCAACATTGGGAGCGTGGCAAATGAAATTCGCTGTGTCATTCCAGGGATTTTTCTTACAGCGGTACACAGCGGTAGACTAGGGCGTAGGACCGGTACACACTCACTACCCGAAGAAGGAACTCTGCTGGCTAGTACGTGTTTAGGGCAGCCCTGCCAGACCAGCACGTGTCCAGGGCAGCCATATTATGCCAGCACGTGTCCAGGTCATATTATGCCTGCACGTGTCCAGGCCAGTACGTGCTCGATGCAGCGGTGCTTAATCCGCACATGCGTAGACAAACCATGTTGCGTCAACACGTGCCCAGAGCTGCCTTGCTAGGCCAGCACGTGCCGACGCCGCCCCGCTGGGCCAGCACAGCCCAGGGCAGCCCTGCTGGGCCAGCTTGTGCCGGGGCAGTCCTGCTGGGTAGCCCGTTCCCACCCGGGCGCCGCGCCGGAGCGGGCCGGCGCCGGCGGCGGTCCTCCGCTGCAGTCAACATGGCCGCAGCGCGCAGTAATCGCGCCACTGCCGGCTCCTCCAATCGGCGCCGCTCCCAGCTCGTCCAGGGCTCCCAGTCGCCCAGCGTCACGCGAAGCTGCCGTCGCTATAACGCGGTGTAGACTCCCGCCTTGCGGAGCTGTCGAAGAGCTGCCTGCACGGCCGAGTATTGTGCCCGCACGCGCAGGGCCAGCCATGAACGGTCCCACCGGCGGCAGCCAACAGGGCGTAGACACATTTTCAAAAACAATGCTAGACCCGAGATACCCTCGTAAGTAATTCTTTGCATGGATCACCAAAGCTTCATGGGCTTCTAAACAGCGAAAAAATCGCAGGAGAATGGATGGTATTTTTAAACATCTCTTTCTACGCAACGCCTCAGCGGAATACTTGGTGTGTGTCTCTCCTCCCCCCCCCCCCAGCATCCCCGCTCTGGCAAATCCCATACAGGTAATGTTATTCTTTCATGGAAAACGAGCGGACCAT